TCGCCTACATCGTCCATATAGGACGACTCGGGAACTCAACTCCTACCCCGGGCAGCTCACCTATCCCCTTATGCCCAGGGGAAAGGTATCAAGCCGTTTGACAGCTGATGCTGGCTGTCAAACCGGCTTTTACGCAAAACAGGCGGGAGGCAGCAAACAGCTGCGACCAGCGAAATCGCCTGCCACCGGAAGTCTCCCTCCTTCCTTCTCTTCTAGACAGATTTAAATTGAAAACTGTGTTGATGGCATACTGCAATTTTGCATCCAGGTGTTTTCCTTAACAGCTTCATCCATGAATGCAGGTTTCACTGAAGAGCCTCTGTGTATGTGTACGTGTGTGATTGAGAGAGAATAATGGTTCCTTTGAGCCCAGAAGCTGGAAGGCATGATGAGACAAGACCTTGGTGCATCCTATTTAAGGAAACAAGGAACGTCAAGCAGGGCTATTTTACAGAAAGTGTGAAGGAAAAACCTGACTAGAGAACTAAGACCACACTTGCTAAAATATTGCTTATGAAACCTACCAGAGAGCTCTGAATTCAGACCACCAGGCAAGGTGAATGGCAAAACAGCCCAACTCCTAGAGTGACCTTTGAGCTGCATTGCAGCCAAGCTAGAAGAAAAGGGGGTGATCAAGGGGGACGACTTTGTGGAACACAAGTATGTGGGTCCAGTACCAAAACTGAATAAATGCCATCAGAGGTCCTGACATCTGACAAAAACCGGAGCAAGGTCTCATGTGTATCAATGTGCTTTCCTTCTTTGGCTTCTCTCTATTCTTCCCCTTTAGGAGCTGACAAACTCTCTGTATATCTGCAGGAAGCAGATGTGCCCATCATTCCCCATGAGCAGTGTCATTCCCCAGAGGTACATGGGTCCCAGATTACCCAACACATGCTATGTGCAGGATACCTGGAAGGAAGAATCGATTCATGTCAGGTAAACCTATTTGAAGCAAAGGAGCTTCCAGAGGAGCCTTCTGGAAGTCTAGCCTTTGGGGCAGAACCTGTCAACTGGGCCAGGAAGGGTTTTTTTTGTGAACTTCCCATAGAGCCACACATTTGGAGCCCCTTGTTCAAACTTTGCATCTCAACTCAGCTTGGTCACCACAATGTAAAAAAGATGCTGAGACTCTAGAAAGAGTACAGAGAAGAGCAACAAAGGTGATTAGGGGACTGGAGGCTAAAACATATAAGGAACGGTTGCTGGAATTGGGTATGTCTAGTTTAATGAAGAGAAGGACGAGGGGGGACATGATAGCAGTGTTCCAATATCTCAGGGGCTGCCACAAAGAAGAGGGAGTCAAGCTATTTTCCAAAGCACCTGAAGGCAGGACAAGAAGCAACGGATGGAAACTAACCAAAGAGAGAAGCAACCTAGAACTAAGGAGAAAGTTCCTGACAGTTAGAACAATTAACCAATGGAACAACCTGCCTCCAGAAGCGGTGAATGCTCCAACACTGGAAGTTTTTAAGAAGAGACTGGACAGCCATTTGTCTGAAATGGTGTAGGGTTCCTGCCTGAGCAGGGGGTTGGACTCGATGACCTCCAAGGTCCCTTCCAACTTTATTATTATTATTATTATTATTATTANTTTATTAAATTATATGCTCCCCTTCTCACAAATTGAGGTGGTGAGAATAGAATAATATAGATTTGAAGAAGAAAAGGTTCCATAATGTAACCTAGATGTCAAAGCTAGTCTTTCTGTAGCACTCTGTAGGACCAATAGACTACCTTGCTCTTCTCTTTCCAATGTTATTCTTCCTTCTGAAGTTCTCAGCTAAATCCCACCATATAAACAAAATTATAACTTTGTGTGGATATCAAAAAATGCTTATCCCAGTTCAAGTTCTTAATAGCTGCTTCAGGCAAAACCTACATATTACAGAGAAGTAAAAGATGGGTCTTTTCCCGTAGTCAACTATCTCTGAACTGTCAGAAAACTCTAGACATGTAAAATCTGCTCTCCTCATTGCTGAATCCTATCCTGGATGTACTGCTCTGCTTTCTTACCGGGTAGTAGCATTTTGATTTTTTACACTTTCAGGAATGTAGGGTGTAAGCCAACAGCTTATCCCTCTAGCTTTGTGGTAATTTCCCTTTCTAAATGTCATCAACTGGTAGGAAGCATTGTCTTTATTTATCAGACGGGAAGACCTGTGAGTTTACCATTGGTTAAAACCAGGTGTCTCTCCAAGTACACCTAACAACTGATCTGTGGGGTCATGAGTGCTTTACTGGGTTATTCCCCCAGTAAACTGATTTGTTTGATAGTGGTTTCAGTATTGTGCTGGCTCAGAAAGAATGGGGAACCTGTTGATATATGTCACCCATCTTGTCCAATAGCTTCCCTGATGATCTCTGAAAATTTCCAGCTTTGAGGCTTTTTTGGCGGGGGGGGGAGACTTCAGTAGTTTGTGTTTGCTGTGATAAGGATTCTTAGTAAATCAGAAAGCTAAGAGACCGAGTGGGCCAGATGATCCATCTAGTTTTTGCTTCTGAGTGATTGTATAGGAAACCAGTGGTTGGAAGGATATGCATAATTCACTGTTGTGGTTGTATCATTTCATGGTATAGTTTGGATAGATTGCTACTCCTCTCTATACCAGTTAGATTGATCTGTCCCTAAAGACTTCAAGAATCAAAATGATTTCTGAATGTTTTGGGGTTTTCCAGTGGATATGATTGGTGCTCCTGGTGAAGCCATGTGTAATTGTGAAATGTCTGACGCCCCTAACTCATATAGAGCTTGGTTGACTGGGGAGCCTAGACCAAATCAATCAAGGGAAGAGGGTTCAAGTGTGAAGGCAATCAAACTCAGTCAAGGTTATTTTATTTTTTATTAGGCCTAATAAATATCCTGAATGCTATGAGAACAGCATTTTGGACAGTTTTGTGTAATAACAAGAAAAATGCCCAAAGCATTGATGTATTTGGTTAAAACATTAACCTCCCAAATAATTGTGAAAGTCAAGATTTATTTTTTGTACATTGGATATGCTAATTTTGAATTTACAATAATTTATTTTACATTTTATTACTCATTTTATACACTAGACCTTTACTTCTTGATCAAGGATTACATTTTTTTTAAAACTAACAGGTTCCATGGCCTGAAAAGGTTTGGAAAAACCCTGCTCTTAACATTCAAAACTTTACATCTGATTATGCTGTACATATATATTTTGTTTCTCTCCAAAATGTGAATTGGCAAGGTATTCAATTTGCCAGGAATTGTCAGTATTGTCCTTCATTACCAAATTCAAATATTTCAAAACTAAGGACAGAACAAAATGGGTGACCATAAAAATTGAACAAATAAATAAAATTTAAAATTAAATAGATTTAAAATTGATATATAATTAAATAAGTTCATATGATTAATTTCCGTGTATTTAATTTTTCCCCCTTCCATTGTATTACATGTAAAATGTGGGGACAAATTTATGGTCTCAGTTTTAAGAACCATTTAAAAAGTAGGATAATGCCACATTAACAACAACAATTAAAAAACCATACTTTCCAGGTTTAGGGGATTCAACTAACACTTTAAAAAGATATTGTCTTTCCCATTCTAAAGATGTGAAATATAAAGGAACATTGGAGCATGTGCTTTGGTTATGTTCACCCTTATTAAATGAAGAGCTTTGGACACTGTAGCAGAAAGGATGATCTTATATTCTTGGAAGAATGTGTGTGTACTCTAAAAGTTGGTTTCAAAGGTTGAGGAGCAGGAGATTATTGTATCCCACTCTAGCTTCATGGATTGTTCATGTTAGAAAACAACACACTGCATCCTTAAACTAAGAGTAAGCATGAATGGCAAATATGGACCTAATATTTCATTTTGCTGAAGCATATGCATAAATGTTCCTTCAGATTATCCTGTTTTATCAATTATTTCTCCCTACTATTAATGAACGTATTTGATTTATCAAGTAGAAATGAGGAGGTATAGGATTATTGCATACCTGCTGTTCTGAGATTTTTGCTTCAGTGAAATCAGGCTCCCTTTTACGGTTTTCTGAGGATGTAAGAAAAGGTCCCCCTTCAGAACAAGCACTGCAGCAATTTCGTGGAGAGGACAGAGGCAGGGTTCAGACCAGTAGGGAGTCTGCTTTCAAAACAAAAGGACTGCAACCAGAATCCCCCCAGCCAGGAGCCACAAAATGGTAGTTTATTCACTGGGTCTCAGGAAGTAAAGGGTCTGGAGCAGTCTATGGCAGTCTACCAATTTCATTAAGAAACGTTGAAAAGACAATACATGTGATGCCACCCTTTGCTGATCTATCTTTCTTCCCTTCTGTGTTTCAGGGAGATTCTGGTGGGCCTCTGGCATGTGAAAAGCAAGGCAAGGCTACCATCCGTGGCATTGTCAGCTGGAGCACAGGCTGTGCCCAAAAGAACAAACCTGGGGTTTACACCAATGTTGCTCATTACCTCAGCTGGATTCAGAGCAACATGCATTAGCAAGGCAGAGAGTGGAAAGCCAGTGAAATTGAAATCCAGGGCCATGCAGCAGCTCTCCCCAGGGGTTTGAACATCTTTTTCTCTCTTATTGTATGCGCAGTTCCCTAGGCTAGATGCTGAACATTACAGAATCGGAGGATACCAGTTGTGTGGGTTATTTTTGGGGATAATAAACCATCCTGCACCAAATGTTCAGACTCCATGTTGTAGGCTGAAAAAGTCTTTACTGAGACAATGGGAGGGCTACCGCTTGAGACATACTGCACCCTCATCCCTGCTAGGAAGGTATAAGTGCCAGATGGGTAACTGCCTGCACTGTCTCCCAAAGCCTCACATTTGTTCTCCATGCATGCCCAATACATCTCAGCAACAGGCATCTCTTTGGTGTTGCTGAAAGAAAAATCATCATTCTAATAGTGGTGGGTTAATCCTATTATGTCCTAAAGGTCATGTCCTGCTTCTCTGAAGGCCTTTTGGCTGAAGGCATTTTCCTTATGAATAGGGGCCCAGTCTTTCTGAATAGGTTTATCAAATCTGTATTTCTACAGAGCTGGCCTGCTCAGTTTCTGCCTGGGCAGAAAAGCCTTTTAAGATTTTTTCCCCTCCAGTATTCCTTTGGGGAAAATATAATATTCTGCCTTTTTTAATATCCCCCAAAATATTTCCTTCTCTAGCGGAGTAGGTGGGTGTTGACTTCCAACAGTATCATTCTTCAAGAGACACTGAAAAGGTAGGTTTTTCCTCCAATGGACAGAACCACGAAATGTGCTGGGGAGGGGAAGAAATGTCTTTTTTTTCATCAGAGGTTATTAATCTTCATAGACTCTGAACAGCAGAGGGCACCCCAGGTCCACACTAATTCTGTAAGGAAAATCAAAAGCATGGAGGGCAAATTTGCTCTGGCCCAGATGAGAAACTCCTCAAAGGCAGGCTTTATTGCTTAGCTCATAACATAAAACTAAGTCTTATGTTTGGAGAAGACTATGTAGGGTTTATGAGCTAGTTGTTTTCAAGTAACTGAGAGCTGTCACCCAGAACATGGTTGGTTCTCGGTCCAGAGAGCAGGAAAAGAAGACACAATGGACATAAATGGCAAGAAAATGAAGGAATGAACAAACATTTTATTACAGTCGTAAAAGTTAAAACAACCAAATGCGATATGAGAATGCAGCAAAATCTGATAAATTAAGTAAATTACTTGGTTCTCTTATTAAGGATCAACCCAGCTTGGACAAAGAATTTAGCAAATGTATAAGTAATTTTGGAATGCTTATTTTTAAAGGGAAAAAAAATCTAAATACCATTGGTCTGGAGGCAGCCTATCTATTAAGCATTAGTTGGGAGCACAATTCTCAAAAACTCGGAAAACTATGTTCAAAGAATAAATATTTTTGGAGGTGCAAGAGCATAGTCTGTGGGCAAGACAACAATCTAGCCAAACACTAGAAGAAATTTCCTACTGTATGACTTTTGGAAAGGGGAACAGGCAGGTTTGAATGGCACTAGTCTCTCCTTGTTTGGAGATATTTAGAGCAAGACTGGAGGGTCAAGAATGCAAGAATTTGTCTGGAGAAAACTGAACTAGTAGGGAAACTGGGGATACAGACAAATTCCACTCCCAGTCACCCTATGCTCCAGTGTCTTAGAAAGATCTTAACGGATTTAGTATAATGATATCCATTAATCGTCACTGGGTGTGATCCGTCAATAAGCTTAGAATCTTATAACCTGGCAGTCAAATGCCTGGGCAAGATAACTAGATAAGTTACTAGTAGATGTTTGGATTACATGATCTTCAAGATCAATCCATCTCTACAGGTGTTTTCCATCACTAAGTGAAACAATTGCTAAGTGGGAAATCATGTGACTTCTTTCCTTTTCCTCACTCCTCTACCTTTTGGAATGCTCACCTCAGTGCTGGAATAGTTATCAAGGAGGGTATTTCTGTTTATATTTACATTCATTGGAGAGGAAGGGACTGCAAGAGAGTAAGCAAGCACACAGTGGGAAATACATATTGAAAGCAATGTAGTGGCACTGTCAGCCCTGAGTGTGCTTGGGGCTGGGAGTCTTATGCTTACTGTGCAAACAGCTCTGTTTATTCTACATTGTGTGCCTGCTTATTCTCTTGTAATCCCTTCCTTTCCAATCTCTTCACTCTATAATGGGGGGGGGGGACAAAATGGGTCAGACTGGTTGTAATAACAATCACTTGACTGAGGGATGCTGCAAAAGTCATAAAGTTATATTTTCAGTACTATCATAATTTCCAATGGTCCCTGAACAAGGCAGATGGTAAGTGAGAGTTATTTGTACTGTCAAGCGGCAGGGAAATCATAAGATCCAGGCAGTTCAAATGGGTATAAAGATTTATTGCAAGCTTAATCTGAACTACTAACAGTCCAAGCAAATTGGCTGTAGATAAGAGTCAATAAAATTTAAGGTGGGCTGGACTTAAATCTCTTGAGGGTGTGGACTCATGACTGATGACGTGTTTGACCCTTCCCCTGGGCTCAGCCTGGACATCTCCTACAGTATTATTATTACATGATGTACCTGTTTATAATTGATGGGAAGAATATAAGAGAAAAAAATGGGAAATTGTACCCAGGACAGCAAGCTGGGATTCTCCTGATTTTATAAGTTTCCTGCCTGAACAGGGGGTTGGACTAGATGACCTCCAAAGTCCCTTCCAACTTTATTATTATTATTATTATTATTATTATTATTATTATTATTATTATTATTATTATTATTATTATTATTACATTGGATTCTCCTGAAATGATAAGCAAATAATAAATGAAATCTGTCAGCATTCATTGATCAAGAAAAGCCATATCTTAGATCTGTACTGTACACTATAGAAGTAGCAGAAAGTGGCACATATACAACTGTATTAGCTCAATGTGTGTAGATGCACGTGATTTATGATTTGCTGCTGATTCAACAGAGATCTCATGTAAAATAATGTGAAGATTTATGTTTGTTCTGAGTTGTGCCCAAAACATTTGGAACTACAATTGTATGAGGTTGTTGTATGCAGATAACTGTGATCTTTGTTTTAGTCATGGTTACCTATAAATACCACATACAGATTGTGGAACTTCAATATGATCTGGGCCTCAGATTCACATGTATGCATCACATGGTGCCAACAATGTCAGATCCAAGCTTTCGTATGTAATAGTATCAAAAATTGCTGGACCCTTAACAGTTAGGATTTTCAGGTAGCCCCTTTGTAAAAACAAACCCATGAATCCAACTGTTACCCTGATAAATGTAACCTCCACAAAGTTTATATTTCATGTGAACTGGTACCACGATCCTATTGTGCAACTACTTTAATTGGGTCAAGTAAGGGCTGGTTTACTGTGTAAATAGCTAAATCCACTTGGTGCTGGGTTTAGAGGCAATTTATTTTACCAAACATCCCTGGGATTGTTTAATTTGTTCAGTCTTAGCCATATTATAGAAATAGGAAAGAAGGAGTTAACAGAGAATTAACTTTCTCTTCCTGCTGCTGGCTGATAGGGAGAGTCATAGAACAACTCTGCAAAAAAAAAAAAAAAAAAAAAAGGAGCTGCTGTACCAAATCCATCTTTATTCCTGTTTTTCTTTTCATTCCCTTTTCGGTCACATAGAGGGTAAAAAAGGAATGCAACTGCCTTTTTTCCAGTCATCCTTAAACATCACAATTGCCTTCACATATGCTTTCCCAGGTGAAATCATTTAACATTGCTAAATATACTCAGCTCAGTTAATGGTCACCTTGGGTAAGTTCACATAAATCTGGAAATTTGGTTATTTCAGTGATCACATTAAGAGTATGGAACGAATGCAGTCTGAGGATATGTATATGTATGAATATTCTAAAATATAAGAAATGTCACTAAGGTTTGTTGGCTGAGCTCCTCTCTGATATGCGCAACTGAAAGACAGTAGAGTCCATCACTCAGCCCAGCCTCAACGCAACTTGCACTCTGATGGTTGTTCAGCACAATCTTCTTCTGAGGACCAACGGTTCAGACATACAACCTCACAAAGCTTGGAAACTAAAGGGAGGGCTGGAGTTTGGAGCTAGGCCCTCTGGCTTGTGGAATCCAGCTCCCTTGGCGCCAACAGCTGTTTTTAGATAGGTTGAGGGTCAGTGTTTCAAGTTTTTCTATTTTGAGCCCCAAAGCTGGGGAAATTACTCAGCCTCCGGCCTCTGCATGTCTGAGCCAAGAGGGCTGGCTGGTCTGCTCCTTTCAGATCCAAACCGCATTCCACCCTGCCTCTTGAGGAGACTTTCCCTGCTTTGTCACTTAATCTTCTCATGGGCCTTTGCATTGCCATTTTTCCACGCGTACGTCACAGCCTCATCAACCTCAGCTACATTGCCCTGGTGGAGATGTTGAGTGAGAAGTCCCATGTCATTGGACCCTTGCTGCAAGGTCTTCCCTCATAGGAATTCTGGGCTGCCTCTCGCCATCCATGTGCCACCTCACCATCTCTCACCTTCTGCCCTTCCAGCAGCTGCCTTAACAGCAACTTCCTGGAAAGGGGCTTTGCTCGAAACACAGCACCAACGACACCAGTGCCAACAGCACAAAGTAGCTATAAGTCCATCTTCCTCTAACTTCTTGGTCTTCCATTTGGTGGAAAATAAAACAAAAAGGGTTATAGTGATAATAGCCCATCAACAGATAAGAGAGGAAATGAACCTGAAAAGGACATACAGCCATCCAAATTTCATCTTTTAAATGATTAAATGACCTGCATGATTAGTCTTAGGAGCCAACGTTAAAACTGCAAAAAGCTGGATCCCCATCTCCCATCTTGGTCCAATTATCAAACTCAGGACTCTCTGTCCCAAGTTGATACTTCCATAGGGAAATTGAAGAATAGGGATGGATATACATTGCCACAAATGTTTTAGTGCAACCCAATCAAGCTCCATCCTACTACCTAGGATACAAATTTATTTACTCCAATCTGCATCATCCAGGTATTTCATATTTGGCCAAATTCTGGACAATCCCAAGGGTCATATGGAAATCATGTGAAATGCAGCCTTTTCACTTAATTTATATTTAAATGATGGAATGTAGGCAGGTATAATTTGCCTATTAAAAAAAAATAAACAACACCCATCCCGTTGAAAATAGAGCACAGACAATCCAGGAATCCACAATCTCACAGAAGATGTGGTAGCAGGAGATCATCAGTTGAGTTTATCTGGAGCACTGCTGTTTCCCCCTCCTCAGTGTTGCAAAGGCCATTCTGTAAAAAAACAAATTTGCTAAACTGACCAACCACATAGTGGTTCTGGATGCAAGTTTGTACTCTTTAAAGATTCCAAGTTCACCCCTCTACTTCCTTGCATTGATCCCAGCATAGTGCAGGGCAATACTCTGTCGAAGATGCTTCCTGGACCTGTTCAGGCTGCCCTGAAAGGATTGTCCATCATGTTTATCAAATGCCATTAAAAAAACACACCAAAATACAGAAAAAAAAACCCCAAATTCAACCAACCCTTTATTAGGACTAAACAAAGCGTCATGGAAGAGTGCAAAATTTTAACCCTGTAGAATTACTGGAAGGGGTCGTTGATACAGAGGACGTATCCCAGGAAGATGAAAGTGAAATGTGAAAGGTGGAAACATTTTAATCTACTTCTGGGTAAAAAAAAAAAGCAAGCAGTGCAGGTTTCCAGGCTGGATGCTGGAGTGCATTTGAAGCATGACATGCTTTATAATGAAAAGGTAACTCTGTCAGGTTCACTGAGATATCAGAAGAAACAAGCATTCCTTCCTTCAGGTTGTTTTTTTCTTCCAGTTTATCTCAGTGGTCAATCTGTACATGAGAACATAGTTTACCCAAATTCTCTGAGAGATAATAGACACCAGCTGCCCTTCTAGGTGTCTGGAACTGGGGTGAGTAATATGGTACTAAAAATGGGCCTATCTCCGTGGATACCTGCCTAATTTACGCCATCCTTGGTTTGCTCTGTTTTCTGGGAAGAATGAGCTACCAGATGTCACTCTATTAGCTAGTAAAAATGTTTGCCTCGTTTGTAGTTTTATTGTTTGATTGGTCTCCTTAGCAACATAATCAGTAATGCTTACAGGAAGAGAGACTTCACATAAAATAACCCTCATTGATAACTATTTATCACAATAGGACAAGGCAGTAATCTTAATTTAGGCCTATTGGGGGTTTAAAGCCATGTCTGCAGATTATTATCCAGTCACACGGGACAGATGAATAGAAAAGCCGTTTTACACACAGGGAAGCATATTAAAGGAGCAGGCCTGTGACTGAAAAGTATACTCTGGGAATCAGCCCTGGGTTACAACGGCTGCCTCTTTTTCTGTCCTTAAAGAGTCTCTAAAACAGGGGTAGTCAACCTTGGCTCTTTTATGACTCGTGGACTTCAATTCCCAGAATTCCTGAGCCAGCTGGCTCAGGAATTCTGGGAATTGAAGTCCACGAGTCATAAAAGAGCCAAGGTTGACTACCCCTGCTCTAAAACATTAATTTAAGTTCCTGTCAAACAGAACCTGCCTTGCTTCCCTCCCCACCCTTAACAGTACCAGGAAGAAAATCATCTGCTGAATGCCTGTTAAAGACAACAAAATTAAGGTTGGAATATGAGGTAATATGCCTCAGTTTGAGATTCAAGGCAACGGGCATGAGTTACCCTGCTAAGCATATGAGACATAAAAAGGAGTTGATTGTTGGGAAGAAAATGCCTAAGAGATGGCAGGTGCTTGGCTGTGGCACCAGCTTCAGCCTGAGAAACTAATCTCAGCAAACTGGAACAACAGGAAAAACTTAATTGCTGGAGGCAATATGGAAGACACCTTTACTATGATTGACAGGAGCCTCTTTGCCAAAACCCATGCCTGGCATCTGCCCAGAAGCAGGATAAGGGTAATGTTTCCTCAAACCAGATGGTTGAATAAGCTTTGCAGTTATGTCCCTTGTTTAGTTCTGCTTCGCCTGAACTAGCAGGCAGGCTAGGCAAAGGACACTGAAACCGGCAGCTTCACACCACCAAAGTAATGCACCGTCATCCACTGATTCTGCAGGAAATATTCTCCCTCTCCTTCTTGGTCCATCCATCTTTCTGCAATCCCAGGGCCTCCCTAGGATAAGTCGGTTCCTTACTGTCCTTGGGAAAGTTCTTCTCATCTTGATACCCCATCAACTCTCAAAATCAGAGAGACCAATGCTTGAGTATATGAGAACTGTGGTAGAGAAGGCTCTGGGGATTGGGAAAAGTGATCTTAGGACGTCCGTGATTTTGCTCCTCCCCTGTTCGTTCTTTCTGTGGAGGATATCAGTCAAACCTCAAGCTGCTCAGACCCAAAGTAACAAGGAAATAATGTTCAGAGGAAGAATGCTTCTTGCTACAATTATCCAATGAGATTATCATTGTGACTACCGTATATCACATTCTGTTTGCAGGTTTTTCCTTCAAGACCCCTAGTATTTCTGATGGAGTACCAGACCACTAGATGGATCTTTTTATGTCTTGAATAGGGCCCCAATTCCTCCAAATGCCACCACCCTTGTTTTGACAAGGGACAATATACATGAGACAGAAACACTCAGCTGTACATTTTTAGTTCCAGTACCAAAATAGTCAGCCCGCTAAATCCCCATTAATAGAATCTGTTTCTGTTTCCCCTTCCCACAGAGCATCTGGGATAAATGAACATTCCTTCCAGAGCTTCTCTGACTTAGAACTGGTTTTGGAGCAGACCTTTCCTTTTAGGATTAAGGATGGAGCCCAACTGCTGAGGTGATTCAATATAACTTCTACCCCTAAACCAAGGATTAGGGATAGTAAAACCAAGAACATAAACTTGCAGGTTTATTACAGCAATGGTCAAAATTTGGAGCAAGTCTGCATGGGGAGTCAAAGCTGCTGTAGTAGTCCTTACAGTACATCAATAATTTTACCTCAGCCACCCTCTGCTCCCACTACCTCAGTTAATTAGCTTGCTAAACAACAGATCAGGCAACCACAAGCTAGAGAAACAGGCAGGAGTGTGAGAGTGACTCTTGGCAACCAACTACCTGCCAACAAGTCACAGAAATCTTGCTTCTTGTGGCACTTCTGCCCTTCAAGCTACATGCATGTCTGGGGTGGGGAAGTCTTCATTAAAATGCAGCTGCAGAAATATTCAGCTCCCCAACTTCCACTGGTTACCTTCTCTGTGACCCCAGGGGGATGTTCTGTAGCCAGCCCCCTGTCCGTCATGCCTCTCTCAGGTTCCAACAACCCTCTAGCAGAGTCCTCATTTTCGGCACACGAATGAGTAGGCAGGAGACAGGAGTTGCTGGAAAGCTCTGCGAAAGTCCCGGTTAAAGACCGTGTAGATGATGGGGTTGAAGCTGCTGTTGCAGTACCCAATCCAGAAGAAGAATTTGAAGAGAGGCTCAGAGATGCAGCAGCCTTCTCCAAGCACAGATTCCAGGCTGTAAGTAAAGAAGAATGGGAACCAACAGAGGACAAAAGCTCCAATGATAAAAGAAAGGACAAAGGTGAATCTGCGCTCCCGGGCCTGCATCAGCCGATTGGTGGAGAGAGACATGTCCCTGCTTCTGCGCTGATGGAGACTGGAGGGAAGTGACCAAGAAAGCCTTGGAGTCCTTGGTGGCCGAGCACTGCTGTTGCCACCATCATCTACTCTCCATTGCCGAGAGAGCCGGGGCAAGCTAGGCTGGGGACAAGGAAGCTGGCCGGACTCCATTCCCATCTTCTGTGTTTCCCCAGGAGGCTGGGTGCTCCCTCTGCAGGTATTGTACTTAGCCACAGGGATGAGGTTGGGATAGGACACCCGCCGTGCTGCAGTGACCATGGAGTTCCTGTGTTTGGCCACATGATAAATCCGGCAATAGACTGCAACCATGATGAGGCAAGGGGCATAGAAGGAGGCAGTGCAAGAGGCCAGAACATACCAGGTGTCATCATGCAGGAGGCAGACCTGGTCCTGCTGTCTAGATTTAAACAGTGGTGGCAGAGATACAACAGCGGCAATGGCCCAGACAACCCCAATCATACCTTTGACCCTCTGGGGGCTCCTTTTCAGATTATATCGGGCAGCTCGGGTGACTGCCCAGTAGCGATCTAAGCTGATGGCACACAGATGCATGATGGAGGAGGTACAGAACAGGACATCCAGCGACAAGTAGAAACTGCACCAAAGACCCCCAAAGCACCAGTAGCCCATGATCTCATTGGCCAAGGAAAATGGGATAATGAGGGTGGCTACAAGGATATCGGCTGTAGCCATAGACACCAGGAAGAGATTCTGTGGGGCCCGAAGGGCACGGCTAGTGTACACAGCTAATACAACCAGCACATTCCCTGTGAATGTCACAAGAGCCACAGTCAGTCCTGCCACAAGGATGAGAGTTGTGGCCAGAGGCGAGTATGGAAAGATGGTGGGTCCCTGCTCACTCTGATTGCTAGATCCATTTTGCTGTGACTCCATCCCATTCATCCCCAGACCAGGCCATACCCTGAGTGCCTGTGCAAGGTTCACGGGCTCCCAAGTCTTGCTCAGGCAGGGCAAGTTGTATAGTCAGGATAGCTGCAGAGAACGATGGCACTGCCACCAACCTTCTTCTCGACGGGCACCATTCTAAGCTAGGAGGCAACAGCACAAACCTGCAGCGGCACTGCCGAATCCAGGCTATCACGTTGGATGTTAAAGCAGAATCAGGGTCTTCAAGGAGGCATGATGGACCTTGAACAGTAAGATGAATCCTGGAGAGGCCGTCTGGATTCCAGAATATTTTGGGGCAGGCGGCAGATCTGATCGTTTCCAGCTATTGTCACCAGTTCTTCCTGTTGCTGCGACTTTTCCAGATTGAGTTATTGGGAATATCCAAGACAATATTGGTGGGCAGACAGAAAACTCCGGTCTTCTTGGAGATACTTCTTTTTTGCTGAAATGATGTGAAGTTCAGCTGGGCTGTTCCAGCTTGAGTCTCTCTGAGTCTGGTCTTTGCTCTCCCCGTAGAGGAGGGAAGGGAGGGGCTGACAGAGTTCGGCTTGCAGGCACCCAGCCAGATTTGACTGGTGGTGGGAGAGGCTGTTTGCTACTAATGTTAATGAGCTTTGGAGAGTATCCCTGGGTTGCTTATTATTGCCCCACCTGGTAAGTGCCAACTGGCAGCAAAGAGGGGAAGGACTGTGCCCGGCTGTCTCAGTCGCCCATTTCAAACTAGTTTTGAAATGATCACCGTGCAGATCATTGATCTCAGCAAAAAAGCCCTTCTAAGAAAATGTATTGGGATTTGCAATCTTTGTTTGTCCAGCCAGGGAGGGGGAAAAAAATTGAGATCTTTATTTTCTAATGTTTCTCCCTACCAATAAAACTTTCTGCTGGAACAGAAATATGTTATTGGCTTAATTACAGAAACAAGCATTAACTTCTGAGTATTGTCTTTCTCCTTCAATCTGTTAGAAGCCCACATCCATCTGGAAGGAAAGCCAGAAAGTATACACATTGGTTGAGGATCGTAGGAGTTGTAGTCCTAGAGAAGGTGTTGTCTCTGGATGTTGGCAGTGCCGGCCAACTTTGGGGTCAGATGCTAAGCACAGCTAGGTCCAATTAGGACTTGGGAGGGGAACCCTCCAGAGAGGCTCCTTTGAGAAGTAAATAAAGACTTCCAGGAAGATAGTAATGGCAAGCCGCAACCATGCTGTTGCCCTCCCAAAGCATGCACACTGGCTGCATACTGTCACCCGGCATCAGCTTGAAGGAGACTTCATTATGCTTCTAGTGGGGGGGGGGAGGGAATAAAGGAGGAAAAAGATGGTAGATTTTGTGAGGAAGAAACCTTCCTGGATTCTGTAGCTGTGATTGCCCAGACTTGAAACAAGTACTTCTGCCCATGCTTACAGGAATCATCTTCATTAATCCATCAAGTTCCTCAACTGAAGGCTGTATTTTAAAGGCTTTGGGGGCAACCACAACCTCAAATTAGCAGGGTTTGAAATAGATCAATTATTCCCTTGGTTCTTTTCATCTTGCTTTTCTTCAGCAGGGTTCTTACACACAGCCCCAAACCCACCTTTGCCTCCTCACTGGCAAGTTTAGAGGCCCATCACCCAAATTCTTTTGGCGGATCCCTCTGGCCCTCAGCTTCGCCCCTTGGCTGGCTCTTCCAGGACTGTAATTCAGATTCCCGTTATCCCACATTGCCACCCAGTGGCCAGAGTTGTCAGTGCACCAGCCTCACTTCCAAAAGAGGCTGGCTAAAGTGTTACAGAAATAGTGTTAACTGCCAAATAAAGGAGTAGGCTGAATTTTAAAATATAGTTCGCCTAGGAGTGGGTGGCTGCATCTTTTTAAAGGAATTGTTTGCCAAGGGTCTTTAGGAACCATTTATAGCAATGCAGTTTCTTTCTCAAATCCAGGCTGGGCATTAGCAATGCAAATAAAGTATCTCAGGGAATTATTCCCATGCTATATTAAATACCGGATTTGCCCAGAAGAGACCTACAAGCAATTCACAAGACTGTCTAAGGTGTGGATTTGGAAGAATCCTATTTTTGTGCATAAACCCACAAATAATGATGGTGTAAAGATCACAGGATACTGCCATCTACTTGGTTTCTCAGAAGAAT